AAGGAAAGCTGTAAATGAGGCTATATTTGTCTTCTTTCTTTTCGCCTCTGGTTATTTTAAGAAAGTAAACGGCTTGGATGATAGAAAAGGATGGTGGAACCAGACAATGCTGATTATAAAGGTGGATTTAGTGATCCCTCCAACGGAAAGTCTCTCAGTAGTGGATCTTTATCTTTCTTAGTCACCTTTCAGAGTATTAAGTTACTTTGCCAATTTGCTGTATCTTTGGTTTGCTTCCTTTGATTCTTGCAGGTACCTTCTTGGCCTTGGCACCTTAGTTTGATTGGGAGAATGAAAGGGGGCAGGCAGGGAAAAGAAAGAGGATAGAAGAGAGCCTCTCTCTGCTTGTCATTCCTGATGGCCCATTTGGGATTCCTTGTTGTTGAGGTGAAGTGTTGCTTTTGAGGAACAGTGCATCTCCTCTGCACAGTTAATTGAAAAAATCCTCCTCAGCACAGGTACACATCGTGACTGAAAGGACTGTTGTTAAAATGTGAATGAAAGAATCATTTGCAGTTAATAACATTCAGTAATGAATTTTATGTAGCAGAACTTATAAAAGGAGAAATAACATCTGAAAAACAGAAATCATACTGAATTACTAAACTTGCACATTTGCTATGTTACTGGAATTTCAGCAAAACACTGCAGTTTCTCAAAGCAAAATCAGATTCAAATTCTGGACTCCAGCTGAAAACAGAGATAATAAGTATGTTGCAGTACTATGTAAAACTTTACAGTTTTGGAAAGCAGAATTAGGAGTGCAGGGAATTACCTATACTTGTAAACAAGATGGTATCAAAATAGCATCTCTAGTTTGAGCTGCTAGGTTTTGCTGTCTCTAAGCAGCATTATCCCAGCAGCAGAAAAATCAGTGAAGAGTGATAGGAGGAGGGCTTTGGACAAGGAATCCCCCAGAGTGGATGGGGAGTTGGTACACTGTGTGTCTATACCGCTTTTTCATCATTTCCTCTAGAGATGTAGGAATGCGCTCTCTTCTCCCCTCTCTCTTCAGCTAATAATGCCTTTTTTTACTCTCACTGATAGCTCCACTGTGTTCCATATCTAAACTGAGAGTGTAGGTAAGATTTCATGGCAGACGATTGATGGCCATGCCCTTGGGTGTCACGCTTCTCATCATGTAAGCATGATACTGTTTGGCTATAAAAACAAACCAGTATCATAAATATTTAAAGCAAATGCTCTCTTTTTTTTTTCCCTTAACAGATTTCTGTATTTGTTGACTTCTGTTGTGTTATCCCTTAAAAAGGGTGCTCTTCAAGAACCCGTAGAGAGACCTAAAGGAGCCCTGTTCAATGCAGAATTATCAGTTTCCTTTATTCAGTATTCTTTCATGAAGGAAAATGTAATGATCTTACATTTCTTAACTTTAAGTTACCAGTGTAATTTATTCCAGTAGTGGGTATTCCAATAGTTCCTGCATATGAGTATGAAACATTGCAAGTTCTGCCTAACTTTTTTCCAAGCGGAGAAAAAGAAAGACTAAGGAGAATGGTTTTTTCCCATGATATTTGTGGTATACAGAGTGGCTTAAGAGGAGGGGACACTAACACCAAATTACTGAGATATTTTAACATCTTTTGAGTTCTACAAAGCAGAAATGCCAGGGTGTTACTTTAGAAAGGTAGTGGTACATCCCATTAATAACAGTAGTCTGCATAAGTCATGGTGGGGAAAAACAACGTTTCAAATTGCATAAAACACATTCAGGTTTGCAGAATTTTTATGGTTTTCATCAGAATAAAAATAAGACTTCACATTATAATGAACTCAGAGGAATTTAAGAATAGTCAGCACTGAAAGGATTAGGATTTTCATGGGACCTGTGAGACTGGCTTGAATGGGGATTAGCCCTCTCTTGAGGTAATACCTCAACTCTTGAACAAAGGATCATGTGTACATGTGGGAATTCATGCTCTGTCTTGGACCTAAGGTTATTTCTTTTTCTTTTTTTTTTTTTTCAAAAATAAGATTACAGTGTAGGTGTTCTTATACAAAAAGACCAATGTTCTTTTGCATTAATATATTGTAGAAAGTGACTTCTCCATGCATGTACCTCAGGTGCTAAGCTGTGATTAAATTTGTAACTGTTTTAAGCGAAAGGCTGGTGCCATGATTGGATAAACACAATGATATGCTGATTTTCTTTGTCGCATTAGAATAAAATAATTTCATAGGCATGAGGATTAAAATTTACTTTTGTACCTTGTACCTTAGGAAAGGTTTGCAAGATGGCCAAAGGTAAAAATTATAAAATCTGATTACTCTATAGGCTTAAGCTGTGTATGGAAGGAACTGATGAGGGATTTTTTTGAGAGAAAAATACACAGGGCAAAGTGTAATGCTAAAACCAAAACTTGTGTTCAGTAATGTCCTATTTCTCATCTTTGTTCTTTTTATAAAATAACTGACGTGGTAACTAATTTTATAAATACTTCTTATGAAGTTGCATGAGAAGTGAAGCTCTTGGAACTTTTGATTAAAAAAAAAAAAAAAGAGAGGAACACTGGCTATGCAAAAACCCTCATCTTACCAATTACCAAGTAATATTCACACTTTAAAGAGTATATTTTTTCTATAAGAACTTCTGTATAACAGTGGGAGTCCTGTCTCCTATAAGAACCAGTCTTAGGGGAAGGGGAAGGTGAAGGTATACAGTGTCAGTTGACTGGTCTGTCTTTCTCTATGCCTGAAAGCCAGATTTAGGTGTTTATGAGGACAGACTGCAGAAAATGAAAACAATGAAGTGTTTAAATAACCACTGTCATTCTTGCTCTCTGGGGCATATGAGATTGGGTGTATCCTTACTGCTCTACTAACAGATGCTCTTTGGCTACAAGACAAAACAATTTTATCTCCAGAAGAAGCTAAGCTGCAGTATTTCCAGAAAGATATGTATGTTGGAAAAAAAAAAAAAGATGGATTGCCTTCTGTAGATATACAGATGCAAAAAATGGAGAACAGCACTGGCTGTTCTCTAGTTTAGAAATTAATAGGAAGAAGTGTCAAGGTTCCATGAAGACTTTTGCAGATATGTTTTAAATGGGTGGAGTCTACACATTTGCTGCTCTCCAGGAATTCAGGAACAAATTAAATTTGGACTCTAAGTTACCTGTATGTGGAGGGTGGCAAGGCACCTTCCATGACAGTGAATATTAGTGCTCATTAGTGCCATCAGTTTTGCTTACACAAGTGCATCTCATTTACCATACCTTCAGGTTACCGCACTCTTTCTGTGGAAGAGAATTTAAAAATGCTGTTTTAAATCTATCCAGGACTCCATTGCAAGTATTCAGTTGCTAGAGACTTTGGTAGGGATACCTTAAATAATTCAGATAGTGTGTAAAAAAGATTACTAGTTTAGTCATTTTATTCCAGAAAGAAGAAAAATACAATAGATAAATAATATTACTCTTAATGAAAGAATGAATTTGTAATGTGGTCTAGATTGTGTGCTGTACCATATATGAAATGTAGTAATGTGTGTATACATTGGTATCCCACAGTGTATCCTTTTTATTTATTAAATTTAGACACTGAAATAAAATACTAAATCTCTAAGTGGGCCCAGTTCTTTGCTGTTTTGAGCAGTTGTGAATAATGAAGTAGAAAGATCTTAATGTTCAGAAAATGTTCATTCCCTTGTCACTCTACAAAAATAAACTTGTGAAGAGATTGCAGCAGCTAAAGAATCAGTGATGAATAATAGATTCTTCTTTCCCCACTCTCTAACATCTACATATAGTGAGCACGTCAGTGCCTAGTAGACAACCATTTATGTTTTGCTTCCTTATGCTGCAACCTTCTTTTTTGCCAAGCCTTGGGAAATGTGGGCAGCTTCTGCATTCTGCTGCTGGAGGTGTGTCTCTGTCAGGATGATTTGGGCTAACCTTTGGTGGGTGGGATTTAGAGTTGCCCTGTTCATCTGGTGTGTGGGTTTTTTTGTTTGTTAATTGGTTTGGGTTTATTAAAGTTATTTTTATTGATATCTTCTCCAACAGTAGATTTTGGTCTGAAATTACTTTTCTGCCAAGTTAGCTCTTTCTTTTGTGTGATGTGAACATTTAATACTTTGTTCCTTTTGTTCTCTTACCAATGTACAGGCCGTTTTCTGGAATAACTTTTTTGTAATGAAAAGGATATACTTTAACCTTTACAAATTTATAGCACTGGGGAGCTTACCTGTACAAGCATTTGAAGTTGTACAGTGGAAACTGTATATTGGTTCAGTGGTGTGAAATAATTAGAGAAACAGATTCTAATCTAAACACCAGTGGGGCTGCTGCTTATTGTGCTGTGCTTCCAGCATCATGGGTCTCAAAATGCATAGGTGTAGGAAGAATTGATGGGTGAATTGTTGTAGTCTAAACATTATCTGGGGGAAAACAAGCATGTTGTCTGGCTCTGAAAAAGAGCAAGATACCACCAGAAGAGTGTTTGATTTTCAGATTTAGCAGCTGGATACTCCTATTATCCTTCATTAGACTTTTTGATCTACAGGAGTTTGCCCAGCTAGTTTGGTGTGATGCATGCCTGCCTATCTTCTTAGTCTGTATACAGCTGCTGCTTTTTTTTTTTTTTAATAAGGATAACTTCACGTTTGAAGTATTCTTAATGCCTTTAAGCAGGGCAATCAAAGTTCTTGTGTCTCAAGAACAACCTTGTCTGTGTTAACTTCGCTTTCTTGAATAGCTTCCTTTCATTTCAAGCAGTAAAGCAGTTGTCATCTAATTGAGCTTGTTCCTAAGTGGTTGTAGAATATCTCCAAGCCCTGTTTCCCTATATGAATTTTGCATAGTTTAGCTATTCCCTCTGGCTTAAGGATGACCCCTGAGGTCAAATATTATTAGAATATGTTAGTGACTCCTGCAGCAAATTACTGAAAGCACGTAAAATAAAGATAGCAAAGAATTGCTGATTAGCCAGAACACTGATAAAGACTAATAATGTCTATGCAATGGTCAACAATATTTTGGTAGGTCAGGCGAGTGCCGGGTTCCAGTGGTCACCTCCATAAAACAGAAGATGGAGACTGGGAATGGAGTGATGATGAAATGGATGAGAAGAGTGAGGAAGGCAAAGCTGCTGTTTCTCAGGAAAAGGTACCTTCTGTTTCTGCCAAGACATTTACACTGTGCAATATATTCTGTCTTTATGTTAATTGTTAGTATTTCTGGATCTTTATTGCATAAAGCTGCATAGCTCATATCTCATTGCATTTGTTTTCCAGTCACGAAGACTGAAAGAGGAGGAGAACACAGAGGTAAAAATGTCTTTATCAATTTTTCTTTTCTTCCAAGTGTTTCAGTGATTTCTTTTTTGTTTCTGCTGTTAAAAATGTGAATTGAGGTTGGAGTGTTCTTCTGCAGCCTTGTATAGCAAGTATTTGTGAGAATAGAGCTGTATGCAATTGTGCCTGTAACAATGAAGTTGAGCACACAGTGGATAAGATGGATAGGAATTTAAAAGTCATGTTATGTTTGTGCCCAGGAAAATTCATGAAAATAGGTAATTTGGCTGTTTTTAGGGAATCTTCATAACTGGATCACACTGATTGCTGTCTTTGTCAGAGTAATGATGACTGTGTTCAGGAGTAGCCAGAGGATCTCCAAATAATTTTTTGTTCTTACGATTTGTATCACAACATGTAGCTTATAATTAAAATGTTTCATTCCATACACAGTAAAATAGTTCAGTACTGAAGCATATTTAGGTTAATTCAGAGGAACAAAATATCATGTTGAATTTTGTGGCCCTGTGCTGAGAGTGTGGGAAGCATTTCTGTTATAAATAATTGCTTAATAGGATTATATCTTAGAGAAAAAAAATGTCTTTCAAAAATGTCTATTTCTTGGGTGGGTGACCCTTGCCACTTTACCTGCAGTTTTGGATTATCTGGTTTTCATTGGTGTCATAGAAATCTTCTAAAAGACTAACAACTTCCTGCCAGATTTGGTCCTGTAAGCTCCTGTGATGACTCCAGTGTCTTCATTGCAGACCTGGTTTACACAGTGCTTCAGCAGCTGAGATAAAGCTGAGTAGGAAAAAAAAGGACTTATACTCCACACAGTCTTTCTGTGTCTTAGTTATTAAGAGTTCTACAGTTTGTGATTCAGTTTATACAGGTAGCTCATAATAAAATAGTTGCTTAGTTTATGAAGGAAACAAAAGCCTCTGCTTGAAGTCTTCTGTTGATTTTTGTTTTCCTAAATGCTCCAGAAGATGACTGGGAACTAAGACTAGTGCAGCTCGCCACTCTTCGTGTGTGTCTGTTGGGTCTTTGGGATGCACATTCCTATACATTGAAATAACATATCTGTTGAAAATGCAGAAGTAATAGTAGTAGTTTATATGAATGGAAGGAATTTATTGGAAGCAGAAAAAAAATTGCTCTTATTTTGTGAAAGTGATAAATAATTTTCCAAATATGCATTAATGTTTGTTGAAAATACACAGATAATAGAAAATAGATCCTGTGTAATGTTTTTATAAGTAGCTTTGATATGGAAGACTGTTGCAAAAACTATCAAAAGAGATTTGTGATGCAGGTCTTTTATTTTGGGAGAACTTGACTGTAACCTTTGAACAAGCTTCTGTGAGTGGTGACAATATGCCAAGGTGGGTATGAGGACCCTGAGATACCCTGTACGTAGGATACAGTTTTGCCTGAGACTTCACATCAGTGTTAGTTGAGAGCTGGGAAGGATATTACAGTGTGAGGGAGGAGTGAGAGTGTGAAAGATATCCATATTCCTGATTTTTCTTTGTGAAAGATATCTTTGAGCTGTGATGCCTGCTTTGATATGGTACTAGTTCTTTGCATATGGATAGATGGAAGACTTCTGTAACAACCGAAACTGTTACACAAAAATAATGTGAGTAGCTGTTTGGTATTCTCACTGTGTGCATATTATTTAATAGGTTATTTGAGCTTTGATGTAAGGTGGATTAAAAGCTCCTACACTCAGTGCTTTAATGCATTATCATTTGTATCTCTGTAATTGAAATTTGGCAGTTTTAGTGGTATCAGCTATATTTTAGACTGTGTACTGAAAGTGTTCAAAAGGTTTCTGAGAGTTAGAGAATGTGTTAAATATTCTGTGCTAACTTCAAACTGTTAGCATGGAAAGTTTTTCGTGATTTTTTTTCTTTTTTTCTTTTCATTTGGCATCCTTTGTAAAACTTTGCTTTTTTCTCTAATAGTCTCAGCCTGTTGTTAGTGACGAATATAGTGAAGTTCCATGTGCGGTGAATCTTGTCTTAAGATTAAGGTAAGAGATTCTTCTATTTATTTAGCTGTATTGTCTTGATCTCCCTCATTACTTTCATAATATTAACATAAAATCAGTACTTTATATCTCTCAGTATGACCGCCATGAATAGTGTTTCTGTGACTAATTGCTGTCTTTTAATTACTTACCGAAATAGTGTAAAACGAAAAGCAGAATATGAATGTGACTTCAGGCTAAGTGTACCCTTCATTAAGTATTTTCTTTCTTTTTTTTCCTTGCAATGAAGGATCACAGTGAGAGATTTTTAATGAGTTTCTTTCACACTTCAGCAGCCAGCCTCTGACAGAAAGAAACCACAGCTATATTACAAGTTGCCTACTCAAAACATTTTTCACTGGCACGTTTGATCAACCATTGTGGAGAAGTGACAGATATTTTAGAAAATGGATACAAATATGTGGTCTGACTTAAATTTATACTTAGTTAAAATGAGTCAGCTTAACTTTAATTATAATCAGTTTATAACTAAGATTTGAATTGCTTAATTGTGCAGTCTAGGTCTTGTATAAAACTATTTTTTCAAAAGAAACTTTAATAACTTATGTATTTACAGGCATTTTCCTTAAATGGCTAACATAGATAAAAAACTTACTGCCACTCTAAAACTTGCTTAGCTATGGTTTGTGTTGACAGGATATTCATGAGAGGTTGTAAAGTCTTAATTATTGCTATTGGGAAAAGTTAAATGTTACAGGTTAGTTTATGCTAATAAAGAGATAAGTCAGAAATAATTAGAAAATTACAACCAGTGTATTGGAAACAAATACGCACAACAAATAACTTTAAAACAGTAACATGAAAAATTGTTAATGTCCTGATTTCAGCTGTTAGTAATCAGAGAAAAACTAACTACGCAGAATGAGTGCCAACTTCCAAAATCTATTTTCTTCCCTTTTCTTTTACTGCTTTTCTAGTGACAGCTGCAAAAAATTGCGTGGCTGCAAAAGGTTGTTTACAAAAGGGAGGATTAATAAATTTTATTGTGGGGATAGGAAAGACTTAGAGATTATTTGGAATCATTTTAGTTGTCCAATTTACATAACTGCCCAGTTATGCTATCAATATTCTTTTCATCTCTGCTGGCCGGTAGATGAAACCATTTACAAACAGATCAATTTGCACTGCTACGTGGATGTGCCAGTGAGGTGCTTTGGGTACTTATAAATTATGATGAAACCTGTGGAGTGATTAGCCCAGTTACTTGTGGTGTTGGCATCTTCAGAGGGCAAGCATTTTAGTCCTGCAAGTGTAGTGAAATGTCAGGGATTATGCTTTCAGTTTTCTGCAGCTCTTAAGCCAGAAGTGAAGGAAGACTGATCCCAAGAGACTTGAGTTTCTGAGCTTTAATTTGCACAATGAATTTTTGTTCTTCTTAAGGATCCTCTTAATCTGGGTAGAAAAAATTCCCTCCCCCTGCCCTCCCTAAAACAAAGTCTGTAGTAACTAGGTTAATGTGTTTTAATTATGAAGGTCTAGGTGGCTGTTCGTAGAGAGAGGAGAAATGAAGAATTTCAGTTTTAGGAACCAGAAAGATTCCTTTAAATGGAAAAAAAAATTAGTCTTGAAAAGCAGATGCACTCTGGTAACACTGTTAATGGTGTCTTGGAAAAAACGAAAATCTGATGCATAATTTTGCTGAGTGAGTTTTGTTAATTTAACTGTCCTACTTTTGAGGGAAGAATGATCTGCAGTGCAAACTTCTGTCCCATGTAAGCTCTAGGGAACTACCTTGGTTGCACAGTTTATTGTGGAAGTTGATGCTTATGGGCAGAAACTATTTAATACGAGGCTCCGGAGTGTGGACCATAAGGTTTAAAGAGTAGTTCCTGGGGATTTGGACAGGGCAAAAGCTAGGGAGATGGGCAACCTTAAACAGGAGTGAGAGGGGCCTGGGCAGGGCCTGATGGGCAGGAAGAAAGTGCTCATCTGCTTTGTTCTTTTTTCCCTTTCTACAATGAGGCTACCCTGTGACAAAACCAATCAAAATTTAGATGACAGTTTGAATTTTTTTCTAGCAGTATGTTCCAAAAAAGGTTAACAGTATCCATAAATATTAAAAATTACTTTCACAAAGGAGGAATTCTGACAGAAGAATGAATGCATTTCAGCAATTCTTTACCTGGATGGTCAGGTTCTGTTATTTTTTTCCCAAATGGAGCGGGGTTGGACTCATTCAGTAATTGAGTAGGGAGTGCTAAATTAACACCGTCCTCTGTTTAGTGCAAATGCCTTGTTGTGGATCAGAAGCAGTACTCATGGCATTCCTTATACAAGTGGTGGCATTTAATGCTCATACTCAAGTTGGAAACCACACAGACCATCTGATTTTTCTGTCCTTAAATTGTATTTATTACCTTTCTGTTTTCATAATTTTCTCAGAAGGACTAACTTGTCAAAATATTCTCTCCTGTCAGAGTTGCTTGTTCAGTTGGAGATGACCATTTCCAGTCCGTTTTCTATCTTTTGCCCTGTTGTGCCTTGGAGTATGTTGCCCCAGAAGTGAAATTAGCAGCAGTCTCTTTTAGGTAATTCCATGCAAAGCTTTTGAAAGGCTCTAGTATTAAATGCTAAATACAGTCCATTAGTGTTTTAAAGCTCAAGAGTAATTAAGAGATTGTGCTTGAATTTTGCAGTGAACTGAAAATACAGGTTCTTAGTTGCCACAGCATGTAACTGTGACCCAGACTGAGTGATCATTCCATTAAAATGCTGATGCTTCTGTATCCTCAGCCTCACACAGAGGAAGGTGTATTTTAGAGTAGGGAGGAATGAAATCTGTAATCCCCATTTTGTCCAGTAAGGCTCCACAAAGAGAGGCTGAAGGCAATTGCCTGTGATTTAGTCCTACGACAGGTTCATACCACCAGGGAAAGGGAGTGGGGAGGAATTATCACCCTTGATTTGAAATTTCCAGTCTGACCACCAAGCTGTTACATTTACAGATTTAGGAAGGTCACTGTCGGAGGATTTGACTACTTGGATTAATTACAGAGATATTTCATGTTAAATTAGGAGACTTGTTAATGCTTAATAGTTAAGAATTGCAAATTATCTGCAGCAATCTAAAATGGTTAAATTAGCTCATATGACAGGAAAATAATTTACTGACAGTAATTTGCAGTGTCCCAGGACCTAATTTAATACAGTTCCTGCACACTAGATGATGAGGCCTATGGAAGAACAAAAGGGGCAAATGGAAATGTTTTACTGGCAAATGAATATTTCTGTTATTGCATATCTTATTTTAAATAGTGTGTAGGGAAAATGCTGAGGCAGGCTTGTCTGTAGTGTCACTCTGTGTTATTTACATGTAAGTGTTTGTGTGCGTATTTCATTGGAACCTATGTGTTATTTGATCAGCTCTGTGGAAATGTATCTTCTGGGGATCTGGACAGGCATATACAAGTCCAAAGTGTAGCTAGAAGCAGGCAGTTGCCTGTGTTGCACTACAACAGTTAGGACTGTTAGAGTTGTTAGGACTTCAGTCAAATGTGATTTCCTCTCCATGCCAGAACGTAGACGATGACGTATCACTCATAAGTCTGAGCAGAAACTCAAGTGCTAATCTTCCTGCTTTTATGTAGACCTAGTTTTTTATCTCTTTCTTACAAAATTAGTTATATGTAAAGTTACAAGGAAAATGTGCTTAGCTGGAGGTACGTAGTAGAGCTACTCCTGTGTTGTTAATATTTGAGTTTGAGGCTTAGATTTGTAGGAGCAAATACCCAAAAGCTATAAACAAGCAAACCTCAAAACATGTTCTGGCTAGAGGCAGAATGAGTTTGATAATTTTGTTAGTGTACCATAAGCCAGCGTTCTCCGTTCTCATTATTTTCTTTTTTTTTTCTTTTTTCTTTTCTCCTTCTAGTTTCATTTTGATATCTTAAAAAAACTTCTGTCATTTCAGGTTTTTTTGTAAGAAGGGAGGCTGATGTGTGTCCTTCACCAAGGACAAGTATTTCTCAATGTTTTTGCTATTAGAGTGGCTTCTGTTCTCAAGTGTATTTAATGACAAAATCCACAAACTATCTCCCAGCTGTGTGGTAGATTTACAACTGGAAAGTAACAGAACTTGTCTATAGTCTGGGAATTGATCCAGTAACAAACATCATAAGCAAAACCATTTGTAGTATTCTTGAAATAAATGCACCATTGATTACGGTATTGAGCACTGTCCTGTGTTTTATTTTGCCATCACCTCTCTTTGTCCTGTGAATCAGGGAGGTGTGGGCATGTGGTTACTGAACTGAATTTTATTTTCACAGCATGGAGACTTCATTTAAATACCTGTTTAATCATGATTAAATCATGACTGAAATCAGTAAGCAGGAACGCTTGATTAAACTATTGATTCTAATCCTGCTTTCTGTTTGCACCTCTATTTCCTTCAAAGTTTGCTCTTTAAAAATGATAAATTGTGCATTTCTTATTCACTACTTAAGTATGTTTTTATGCCTTGCTGTATGTTTATTGAAAATAAATTAAAAATTGAAAAATTTAGTTTAATTATGACCTAAATAATCCTGCATGCAATTGTTATACCATCACTTATTTAACTAAGAAATGATATATTGTTTATAGAAATAAATTTTATATGTAAAAATTATAATTATTCCACCAAAGAATCAATATATTTTTTCCGCTTATTAAATTTGGGTTATCAAGAAGATTTGCATGTCTAAATATTTAGATGGAAAGGAATTAGGCTTTTAACCTGCACAGCTGTGGTTGTAAATTATGCAGGCAATTGCATTTGGGAATGTTGCTGATACTGAAATTTTAAAATCCCTAAAGCTTTTTTGTTCCATTCTTTTTATTGTACTAATTACAAAAGAAAAAAAATCAGGGGGAACAAAAACTAACAAGGAAACCTCAACATTCAACCCCTAACCTTCTTTATGTTAAAGGAAATAATTTAAATCTTGACTTGATCTCAGTATCAAAAGTAATTTTATTTGTATTATTAATGGCATGTATGT